ATGGCTTGCTGATGAGGAGTATCCCATTTGTAGGGCGTATCCTTTTTCAGTAGGTTGGTCACTGGCGCTGCTATCTTAGCGTACTGCGGCACGGACCTGTTGTAGTAGTTGGCGAAGCCTAGGAACTGCTGCAACTCCTTCACGTTCTCCGGTACTTTCCACTTCTTGACGGCTTCGATTTTCCGCGGGTCCACGTGTACGCCCTCGGCACTCACCATGTGTCCGAGAAACTGCACCTTCTTCAGGATGAAATCGCTCTTTGACAGCTTCACGTAGAACTTGTTCTCCCGCAGGATCTCGAAGACTTTCCACAGATGCTCCACGTGCTCCTTCATGTTCTTGGAGTAGATGAGAATGCCGTCAAGGTTCACCACCACGCATTTGTCCAACAGGGGCCGTAGGATATGATTCATCTCCGCCTGGAACGTCGCTGGTGCGTTGCAGAGTCCGAACGGCATATCTAGATATTCGTAGGAGGCATATCTGGTGCGGAACGCCGTCTTGTTGATCGAGTTGTCCGCCATCTCGATCTGCCAGTAACCCGACCGTAGTTCCAGTTTCGAAAAGACTGTTGCACTACGCAGTTGGTCCAGTAGGTCGTCTATGCGCGGTATGGGATATTTGTTTTTTACTGTCGGTTTGTTCAGTGCGCGGTAGTCGATGCACATCCGTAAACTGCCGTCTGGTTTTGGAGTGAAGAGAACTGGTGCAAAGTAGGGAGAGGTAGATGGGCAGATCAGTTGTCTGTCCAGTAGATACTCTATGTGCTTCTTCATGTCTGTCAGTTCAGTCAGACTAAGGCGGTATGGTGCACGTGAGACGGGTTTCGCACCTGGTTCCTCCACGATCTCGTGCTCGTGGGTTCGCGCTGGAGGTACTCCTGCAGGTAGGTTCTGGCATGATGTCTTTGTACTGCTCCAACACCTCCTTCACTGCTGCAGGTAGCTCTGCGTTCGGCTTCTCCTCCTCTGCTGTTGCCATAACCAGTGCTAAGTAACCCGTGTTACTCTCGTTCACCGTCCGTTCGAACCGTGCCAGTGTTGTTTCAGGTACGTTCCCTGTATCCGTCCAGCTTCGTAGCTCCACTCGTTTCCCGTTGTTGCACGCCTTCCTGTTGACCCAGTCGATCTCGGGGTTTAACCGCTTCAAGAAATCTCGCCCCAAGATGAAATCTAAACCCTTGATGTTCGTGATCGGCAACGACGGCTTCCACCTCAGTGCCCCTATATGCAGCCGCAGTGATGCTTCGCCGTGGATGGGAAGTTTTGTACTGTCCACCATCGTTGCCGTGAACTTGGTCTCCTCCGAAGGTTCTCCAATTTTCTCCAACGTCCCGCGGTCACACACTGAGTGGGACGCACCACTGTCCACCAGTGCCTGGAGGCGTCGTCCTTTGCATAACACCTCGAGGAGTAGTGATTTTTGCTGTACTGAGTAACCAAACATAGTCTCTTTAATAGGATCATAGGGTGCATCAAAGAAATTACCATCCCTATTTCCTACACCTGACTCAACGCTTTTAACTTCCAACTTCACCTGGGGGGTAGGAGGATTTTTCCGAGGCTTGAACAACTTTTCTAGAGCTTGGAATTTTCCTCTAAGCCTTTGCAGCTGTGTAGGCTTCACCTGTGGGCAACGGACGGGGAGCCTTAACACTATGCTGCTGGGAGAGAATATTAACACTACGGAACGCACGACCCTTTTCTACGCTCCGTAATACTTTGCCCAACTTCTCAGGTACCTGAATAATTTCTAAAGGCTTTTTCTTGGCCTCTAACTCTCCCCTGAATTTCTCAAAGGCTTGAAAACCACGAGAAGTATTATTCTTTGTTGAAGTATCTTTGTAGGATAACTTTAACGAATTCTTACTTTCGTGGGTGTTCTGTTGGAGTTTCCCGGTCGGTGCAGAGTCTTTTTTCGCGGAGCCTCCATTCGCCTCGGCGATTTTCCCTGTTGCCGGCCGGTCGTGACGTTTTATATTCGCGCCATCATTTTCTGCTTTTTTCTCCACTCCGAAGTCGCCACAACGTCGCCCTTTTTCTCTTTTCGGATCTTTACGCGATCGCCAGGTCGATCCATGGCTACTGGCGATTCCCGTTTTTTTACTTCGGGGGTGTTGTACTGTTGCCGCCCAGCCATGCCGCACGTGCTTTCTTCATTTCGTAGCACGACAGGATTTGATGTCCGGCTGCGCCGCAGAATTCGCATTTTGTCGGTTGCTGCTTCGCGTCAAATCTGTCGATATCCATCGGTTCGGCGAACGTGGGGGGTGCCGATCACTCCGTGCCAAATGTACGGTTGGGCCCGTAGCGTCGTGTTTCGGGTTGACCACGCGTCAACGAGTCGTATCGTTCGGCTGCACGTACCATGTCGCGGTAGCTACTGTAGTTTGCGGCGATGACCTGTCGGCGAATCTCCACTTTTAACCCCTCGGTGTACGCTCGGATTTTCTCGCCTTCGATCAGGTCAGTGATGCTGTTGAAAAGTTGTTCCATCTGCTGCGTGTACAGTGCTACACTCGCGAGTTGCTTGTGTCGATGAATCTGCTGCCGCGCCATGTACACCGAATTTATCAGCTCGAATCTTTCGATGAGGTCAGCCCGAAACTGCGCCCACGTTTTCTCCCCGCGGGCCACGTCACTGTAGTAAATCCACTCTAATGCCGGGCCTCGCAACAGTGTCGATACGAGCCGAATCCTTGCTGCATCGTGTGTCGGGGTCGAACAGCCAATGGCCTCGAAATAAATTTCGAAGGTCGCCACGAATCGTCGAACGTCCGATCCTTTCGTGCTCGGATCGAATGCTTCGGGCGAGCTGCTTCGAGGTTCGGCGAAGGTGGTGCCACTGGTCCGTGAATTGTCGGTGTCGCCGCTGCTGCAGCTGTTGTCGCTGCTACGTTCGCTGCTGCATTCACTGCTGCTGTGGCGGCTACCGATTGGTTTGTCAGGAGGGCCTCGATTCGCCGGTCGCCGCCTGCGTCTGTTCCACGTCGGTGCGAAGGCTGGCGATGTCGTGGGTGGTCGCGTAATTGTCGTCTTGCCCCTCCATCCCTGACATTGCGCGTCCAAAAACCGAAAACGAGGGGGAGTGAAAAAAACGGAAGCGGTTTTACGTACCCGAAATCGGTGTTTAACAGTCGTCGCCCCCGCGGTTTTTTTAAAACTCGGTCTTAGTGGTCGAAAAAACTTCGCGTGTAAACAGGCTCTGATTACCAAGTGTGAGGATCTAGGATCGAGCTCAGAAAAGAGAGTTTGAATTGAATCATCCACGTGGGTACAACACGAGGCTATATAAAGTCTCGACACAGGGCAGGTAACCCAGGTGTTACGCGAATGTTCTGGGGGTCGCGAAGCGTCCCGAACAGAACCTTCCCGAACTCGGTAGAAAGCAATTCGGTGGCAACCGAAAGGCTTGAGTTCGGTACACGTAACCTGGTTCGGATTTATAACTATAATAACATATAGGAATGCACCTAACCTAGGAAATCAAGCATATCTATGCATTATAAAATAAACCCAAGCTAGATGTAGCATAATAAGCAAGCATAAGCCGTCGTACTCTCACAAGTTTTGTACGTCGACAACAAGGCCATGATTGCCTTGTGTCAGGACTAGAGACTGGGGCATAGAACGAAGCATATTGCTCTTCCTTACTTCCTCGCACGAGAGTTGCAGCAGCGTGGTCATCTTCGCCTTTCGTACGTGGCCTCCCAGGCCAACACTGCTGATGTCTTCACCAAGGCCCTCGGGTCTGGTGATCATCAGCGTTTCTGCACTGCTCTTGGGCTTGTGCCAACTTTGCCTCATCTGCTTGTCTCTTGATCTTGCCTTGCACTTGTTGTACTCTGATATATATGATTATACCTGTATGTTTCCACTTGCTAGGTTGTGATCAGTGTACTGCAATTGCTATTATAAACTCTGCATGTGAACTGACCTTGTGGCCGCTTGTTTGTGCTCGGACTGCGTGGTGATCTTGAGATCCACCCTGAGCTTTGCTTTGTTTGCTTCTCTTGACTGGTCTTGTGACCATTGTTTGGTCTGGCTATCCCCTACTTCACCTATGGGGGTGTGACAAAACATTTTATGTTTATATCTTTTTAGGCTATGTAGGGGTTATCCTTAGAGGGTATACAACTTGCTCGACACTCTTGTACCCCACTCCTTTGACCTAGTCGACATTCCGTCCTTAGCTTCTCCACAATGTGGTAACATTTTTCGCAAATATCGCATAGAGTAGTTCGCGACGTTCGTCAATAATTGACCACTTCAAAGACACACTAAGGGACATTGAACGGAGGTCGAGTTTACAATTGGACTTCCGAGTGCACGTTTTTTTCAAACGTGTGCAGTCTTGCCCACCTTCGACAACGCTGCGAAATATGCGAAGGTGACGAAGCTCATCGGATGCAGGGGGGCTATTTTATATCGTCCCCGGGTCGCACGAGGCGCAATGTAAATACCCAAACCGGGCAACATACGATGTCTTTGTGCGACTCGGCACCAGCTTTATAAGGTCGAAATTCAACTGTCGTCCATTGTTGGTGCGACGTGCTTGACTTGAAAGGTGATCATGCGGTTCGACCATCAAAAGTCGAGATAGTCGACTTCACGTCGACCAATGTTCATTTGTTAACATTTGAATAATAAACCCAAAATTTACACTTGCCAAGAGTGCATCGTCGCTTTAATCGTACACGGGCTTTCTGTTATCGACCGTATCTTGCTGCAACGTGGCAAGCCGAAGCCCCATTCTTCTGGATGCTCCTGCCACTTCACTCGATGGCGATTGGCATTGCCCATTCCGCAGTTCACCGTTCCGTGGCGCTTTTCAAAGCTTCAATGCGCAAATAATCGTAACCCTTTCAGAAACCAGGGTTATCACACACAGTACGATCCACTTGGTTTTGAGAAGACTGAGCAGCCACATCGGAACTCGTGAGCACCTAACAGCCACGCGCGTCCGTTTGGTACTCCGATCAGCCCGCGTAGATTTCATAAATGGCCGTCGCGGTCACAAGCGCCTCGCTGCGCGCCGCCCTGACCGCGCGACTTTCGCGCATTGCGGCCTCCGCATCTCTGCAGTCCGCCTCGCAGTCCTCCGCCGCCAGCTTGCTTCCGCGCGCGTCACGAAAATCGAAGCACGATGGAGGCAGGCGGGCCGCGCATGCCGTGTCGGCCAGCGCTGCTGCGGAGGGATCAGCTGAGAGCGCCGTGGCTGAGAGCGCCGTGGCTGAGAGCGCCGTGGCTGAGAGCGCCGTGGCTGTAGCTGCTGCTGCTTCAGATGCAGCCGCTCCTGCGGCCACCGGCCCTGGTACGTTAATCACCGGCCCTGGTACGTTAATCACCGGCCCTGGTACGTTAATCACCGCGCCTCTCGCGATCGTGCGGCGGTTTGTCATTGGAATGGACACCAGCTACACTCGTGGTGCGCGCGTGCAATCCCCCCGAGGCACACAGCTCGTAACGCGAGTCTCCCTCGTTTCGCTGCTTCAACCCCCTTCCCAGGTGTTTGCACATTGACGGAGTCCCCGGAGCTGCGCGAGGGGCGCATCGTGAGGGCGCGGAAGCACCCCGAGGCGGACGGCCTGTGCAACGAGTCTCCCTCGTTTCTCTAAACCTTCACGTGCCCGTGGCAGATGTGTGCAGCCTCGCCGAGTCGCTGGAGCTGCGCGTGGGGCGCGTGGTGAAGGCGTGGAAGCACCCCGAGGCGGACAGCCTGTACGTGGAGGAGGTGGACGTGGGCGAGGAGGGCGGCCCGCGCACCATCTGCAGCGGCCTCGTCAAATACATTCCCGAGGCCGACATGCAGGTGAGGCGGACATGCAGGTGAGGCGGACATGCAGGTGAGGCCGACATGCAGGTGAGGCGGAAATGCAGGTGAGGCGCACATGCAGGTGAGGCGGAAATGCAGGTGAGGCGCACATGCAGGTGAGGCGGACATGCAGGTGAGGCGGACATGCAGGTGAGCGAATGAGGAGGCCGTACAGGCGAGGCAGGCGAGGCCGTACAGGCGGGTGGATGCAGATGAGGCCACGCAGGTGAGGCCGTGTAGGTGAGAGGCTCGCATAGGATGGCAGTCAGTTGATAGGTATGAACCAGATTTGATCGAATGAAAACAAAGTGGACATGAAAGTGCCTTGATGCAGCGAATGCGCTCGTCTGCAGCAGTGGAAGAATTTACCTGGAGGGATCCAGTCCAGCATGAGGGGCGTCATTCCAATGAAACAGTTCGGTCTTCCAATGAAACAGTTCGGTCTTCCAATGAAACAGTTCGGTCTTCCAATGAAACAGTTCGGTCTTCCAATGAAACAGTTCGGTCTTCCAATGAAACAGTATTGTCTTCCTCCCTCTCCTCCCACCCCACCTCTCCCTTTTTTTCCCCGCCTACAGGATTGTCTGGTGGTGGTGTTCACGATCTGAAGCCGTGCAACAGGAGGTTCACGATCTGAAGCCGTGCAACACGAGGGGCGTCAAGTTCAAACACCAACTGACCCCGACCTTCCCCCTCTCCCCCTTCCCCCACCCGACCCCTCCCCATTCCCCCCTCCACCCCCCAGGATCGTCTGGTGGTGGTGCTGGCGAGCCTGAAGCCGTGCAGCAGCAGGGGCGTCAGGTCCGAATGCCAACTCATCCTCACCTTCTCTCCCTCCCGCGTTCCCCCAACCCGCTTCTTTCCACCCCATCCCCCCCCCCCCTGTCGCCCCCCAGGATCGGCTGGTGGTGGTGCTGGCGAACTTAAAGCCGCGCAACATGAGGGGCGTCAAGTCCAACGGCATGCTGCTCGCCGCCTCCGATGCCGCCCACGAGAATGTCCAGCTCCTCTCGCCGCCCGCCGAAGCTGTGCCGGGCGAGCGCATCTGGTTCGGCGCCGAGGCCGACGGTGCTTTGCAAGCTGCTGCTGCCACTCCGAACCAGGTGTGTAAGAGGCGGAGATATGGAACGGTTGCTGAGGCGGGAGGGGGTTGTTGTCAGTGGTAGGGCAAGGGGGTTGTTGTCAGTGGTAGGGCATTTCCCTTGCACGGCATTTATCGTCTGTCTCACTCTTTGCCCCCAACTCCAACTGGTTGCCTCCTCGTGTTTCACTTACTGCTCATTGCCATCAGTGTCATCTCATCATTGCCGTCAGTGTCGTCTCATCATTGCCGTCAGTGTCATCTCATCATTGCCGTCAGTGTCATCTCATCATTGCCATCAGTGTCATCTCATTATTGCCATCAGTGTCATCTCATCATTGCCGTCAGTGTCATCTCATCATTGCCGTCAGTGTCATCTCATCATTGCCATCAGTGTCATCTCATCATTGCCATCAGTGTCATCTCATCATTGCCATCAGTGTAATCAGTATCATTACCCCCCTTTGAAGGCCCTTGATCATCACGTTATTGGAGACTTCTCCCTCCCTTTGCTGCCGGCGTGTTTCCCTGGCAGCTGCAAAAGAAGAAGATATGGGAGGCTGTGCAGCCACAGCTCAAGACCACGGAGGAGTGCGTTGCTACACTACTGGACAAACCAATGCGGGTTGCAAGTGGTGTCATCACATGCAAGTCTCTGGCTAAGGCAAACATTGGCTGAAACTGCTGAGTAGAACCATATCAGAGTCAACAGATGGCAACCAAATGGCACGTCTTGTTGAGACAGTGAAAAGTTGACTAGTGAGGTGAGTACAGACATGACAAGTAGAGACATGACAAGTACAGACATGACAAGTACAAATAATATCCTCACTAAAGACTAATCCTGCCTAGCCTATAGAAACATACCTAAACATATAAAATATAGTTTGGCACCAGGGCCCACGATATCAGGGCAAAACATCCTGATTACCCTGATTTCAGGATGGTGTTTTAAAGCTCAAGGCCCAAATTGTTCAACTTTACTGAAGTTGAGCTTTGGGTGGTGAGGGAGCTGGGCAGGAAAGTCGAGGTGTTGGTTGGGTCGAGGACTTTGGTTTCGCCTAACTTCTCGCTGTTGCGATCAGAAGCTGATCAACCTCAGGATCACCTAAGGAAGGTTTGCACACTTCTAATCTTAGTGGTGGTGGTGGGCCCTTGACCTCAATAGCAAAGTGAATGTAAATGCTTGAGATGATAAAAACATGCAGTACAAGGAATATAAATAAGATTACAAGGTGATACCGATCGACCTAGCTAGCCATGTACTCCAAGGGGTACATTCCCTTATTGCAGCGAAATCCAACCGTGCGACTCCAGTCAGTTACGAAACTGTTCGGGCAGAATCCTCGCCACTGCTGCTGCCTGATGCTGTCTGCCCAACGGTCCAGATCCTTTCGTAACCGTCTGACTCTTCCTGTCACTTCCGCCTGTTCGTCTTCATTCTCGGTAGTACGTGCTTCGATTGCTGCGGTGAGGAGTGTACAATAGTGTTTCAATAGTCACTATTCGTAACACCCCCCATTCACTCCTGGTCGTAGCGAGTCTTGACCCGCTTGACTACCCCGCTGAGTTCGGAGCAGTGCTGGTACTGCTGACGTGACAGCTTCTTCGTGAGGAAGTCGGCTGCCATGTCACCCGTCGGGCAGTAGGTTAGGTCAACCTTGCCCTTGTCAACCTCGTCCTTGACGAAGAAGTACCGCAGCGCGATGTGTTTGGTCCGATTGACGAATCCCGGCTTGTTCGCGATCCTGATCGCGCTCTGGTTGTCGCAGTGTAGGCGAAAATTCGTCGAGGCTGGAATTTTCGCCTCCTGCAGCAGCTCCTGAAGGTAGAGGCCTTCGCGAACGGCTGCTGTTGCTGCCATGAATTCAGCCTCCGCTGATGACAGGGCAACCAGCTCCTGTTTTTGTGAATTCCAGGAGATGGGGCCGCTGGGCTCGAGACGGAAAAGGAAGCCTGTCCTGGACCGTCGATTGTCGGGTTCAGCGTCCACGTAGCCGATGAGGTTGAAGGATGAAGTTGGGATGGTGGAGTAGCAGATCCCGATGCTGGGCGTGGAGATGAAGAACTGAAGCGCCCGCTGAAGATCTAGTAGATTCTCAGCCGTTGGTTTGCGAGAGTACTGAGCCAACTGGCTCGCGATGTAGGAAAGGTCGGGCCTGCAGGTAACAGATGCAAAGAGCAGGCATCCCAACTGCTGCTGGTAGGTGTGAAGCCCAGCAGGGGACAGGGCTTTGTTGTCGGGCTTGTGGTTGGGTCCTGGAGTGCGGTAAGGGGTGGAGAGTGGTGCAGGTGCAATGTTGAAGCGCTTGCTAAGCTCCTCTGCATACTTCGCTGCTGAGAGATGAATGGCTTCCGACGAGTAGGTGATGTTAAGCCCGAGAAACTGCTTCACGTCATGGTTGCAGGTGATGTCGACGCGCCCTGCGAGGTTTTTCTCGAATTGCTCAAGCAGCTCGTTGCTTGACCCTGTGTAGAGGAGGTCGTCGACGTAGACCGTGAGTAGGATGTATTCGTCGCGGAAATCGCGGCGATACATCCCAGGATCGTGAGGCAGCTGCTTGAACCCGATTTCAAGCAGTATGTTGTGCAGGTACTGCTGCCAGAGTCTCGGCGCCTGTTTAATCCCGTAAAGGGACTTTCGCAGCTGGCAGACCCGCGAATCTCCTTCGCCGTATGTGTGCGGCTGCTCCACGTAGATCACTGCATCTACGAGCGCGTACAGGAATGCGTTCTTAACATCGATCTGTCGGAGCGGCAGATGTCGTGCGGCTGCGATGGCGAGGAGTATCCTGACGGAGGTGTGACGGCTCACCGGCGCAAACGTTTGATCGAAGTCAACCCCGTGCCTCTGGTCGTAGCCGCGTACTACCCAGCGCGCCTTGAAGCGCTCGATCGACCCGTCAGCTCCGGTCTTCACGCGGAAGACCCACTTGCCGGAAAGGATCCTTCTCCCCTTCACTGCTGCACGGTCGACGAGTACCCAGGTGTCGCGTGACTCGAGTGCCCTGATCTCCGCATCCATTGCCTCGCACCACTCCTTGCTGTGAGGTCCCGTGAGTGCTTGTCGTGAGTTCTTAGGCTCGATGACGCGCGGCGTCGTTGAGGTAGCGGCATGGAGCCCGAGGAGTTGCATTCCGGTGACGGTGCTGTCGTGGCGATGCTGCGGGATGACCTCCTGCACATCGTCGTCGTCGCTTTCTGGTTCTGGTGGGGCTGATGGTGCTGCTCCTCCGCCGTTTCCGCTCCCGCTTCCTCCTGTTGCGCCTCCTGCTGCGCCCGCTCCTCCTTCTCCTGAATCATCGTCATCGTCATCGTCGTCGCGTTGATCGCCTCTCGTGAACTCGCCTCTGGGGTCCTGCTCCAGAATTGCTGCTGCGGCTTCGTCCTCAGGTGAGGCGTAGCTGTGGCCGTCATTGGCGTAGACGCGGTTCGCGTTCGTCTGCTCGTCTTCGCGGAACTGCTGGAGGAAGAGGCGCTCGTAGAAGATGACGTCGCGTGCGTTCTTAACTTTCTGGCTCAGAAGGTCCAGAATGATCCACGCCTTGTACTCGTGGCTGATCCCGAGGTGGATCCCCCAGCGCGCGCGGCTTTTGAATTTCCCGATGGTTGATGTCGGCGGGCGATATTGGACCATGCATCCCCACACGCGGAGCATGGATGTGTCGCCCTTCCTCCCCGTCCACTTCACGTGCGGTGAGGAGTTGCCGGTGATCGCGGTGGTTGACAGCAGGTTGTGCACCTGTACGGCGTGATGCATTGCGTAGGTCCAGTAGATCGGCGGAAGCTTCAACTGCCTCATTAGCGCCCGCACCTTCGTCACGAGAGTGCGATTCGCGCGCTCTGCTACGCCCTGCTGCTGGTGTGCATAGGGGAGGGAAATGTGATGCTCAATCCCCTTTTGCGCAAGGTAATCCTGCAGTTCCTTGCTCCTGAACTCCGCCGCGCCATCGGACTGCCGGATCTTCAACTTCTCCCCAGATTGCCGCTGCGCGTGCGCCAGCCACAAGCGGAATGCCTCGTATGCCCTGCTGCGTGCTTCCACATTTACAACCCACACGTGGCGTGTTCCAGCATCGACGAAGGTGAGCGTGTAGAGCTCGTCGTTGATGCCGCAATGTCCTACGTTGAGCAAGTCACTGTAAACTTTCTCCAACTTGGCGTAGCGATTGGTTCCTGGCTCGAGCAGGGGGAAAGGGCTGGTGACTCAGCGCGGCCTCGGGGCAGATGGTGCAGGTGCGAGGGTGAGTTCCGCCTCTTACTTCGGAGCCGTCAGGGCGCAGCAGTGCGCCAGGTGCGAAGACGCCGGCATCGATGCAGTTCTTCAGGGTTACGCGCGAGGGGTGACCTAGGCGCTGGTGCCAGATGGCGTCGTCAGCGCGGAATCCGGAGGTGCGCATGTAGCGCGCGAGTTCTTCTGCGGGGTCCTCATCAGGTGTCGGCTGCAGAGTCGCTACTGCTTCTTCTGCTTCATCTTCTTCGTTCGCCGTTGTTAACATTAGGGCGAGAAACTCCCTGTCGCGAATGATGGAGTAGGGGATGTTGGTGCCGGGGATCGTGCCAGGGACAAATGTCGGTTCGCGTGGTTCAGGGGCAGGTCCGTAGACAGTGCGTCGCAGGGTGGATGGCTCGTTGCCCCAGTCAATGGTGTCCCAGGGGTCACTTCCTGAAGGGATGTCAGGTGGCGGTGGTGCTAGTGCAGGGCGGCGCGGAGGGCGTCCGAGAGGAACAACAGGAGGTTCGACCTCAACTTGCGCTGTTTCTTCCTCTTCCCCCCTTTGATCCTCGCGGAAGGATCCCCAGCCGCTCGTCTCTCCGCCAGATGCTGCGCCCCATCCGCCAGTATGACCGCCGGTTGCGGCTCCCCAGCCGCCTGTGTCACTTGTTCCCCACCCGCCAGCGCTCCCCCACCCCCCTTCATTGGAGGCGCTCTCTTCGTCGCCCCATCCACTCCAGGCGAATGTTCCGCGTGACTCTGCAAGGCTCCGTCGGCGAAGTTCTTCCGCTTCGCGGCGCGCCAGATCCTCCTCTTGTGCGACGGTGAGTTTCGTCGCAGGGTCGCGCTGATGAGGGTAGACCTCCAGG